GGAATGGGGTGCTGGGAAGGGGCTGGGAGGGGACGGGGATGCATCGGGGTGTCCTTTAAGCCAGGATGGGGTAGGGGGATGCAGGGATGGATTGGGGCACCCTCCAAGCCAGAAAGGGGCTCAGAGGGTAGAGGGATGGATTGGGGTGTCCTCTGAGCCTGGGAGGGTACGGAGATGGATTGGGGTGTCCTCCAAGTGTGGGAGGGTATGGGAATGGGTTGGGGCATCCTCCAAGCCAGGAAGGGGCTGGAGGAGTGTAGGGATGGATTGGGGTGTCCTCCAAGCACGGGAGGATACAGGGATGGATTTGGGTGTCTTCCAAGCCAGAGTGGCTGCGGGGGTGTCCGTGACAGTCCGTGTCCCCGCAGTGCCCACCAAATGGGGGCTGGTGCTGGAGCGCCTGATAGTGCTGGGCTGGACCTTCTCGGACATGCTGACCCGCGGGCAGGTCTTCGTGGGGCGCCTGCTGGAGCTCCACATCCTCAAGCTGGTGGCTCTCTACACCGTCTGGGTGGCCCTGCAGGAGGTACCGACCCCAGGACCCCGGGGTGGCAGGGCTCGGCCGGGCACCCTGGGGTGCTGATGTGGCCGCTGCCCCAGGTATCGCTGATGAACTTCTTGCTGGTGCTGCTGTGGGCCTTCGCCATGCCCTACTGCCGCTTCCGCCACATGGCCTCCTGCCTCTCCACCGTCTGGACCTGCATCATCATCGTCTGCAAGATGCTCTACCAGCTCAAGATCGTCGACCCCCGCGAGTACTCCAGCAACTGCACCCAGGTGCCCGGGCGGCCGTGCCGGGGGGACGCCCGGTTCTTGGGGCGCTTGTGGCGGCGCAGGGGGGGTTCCCTGGCTGGAGGTGGGGGTCTGGTTGCAGGGGCGAGGGGCGCTGATGCCCGGTGGTGCTCCCCTTTGCAGCCCCAGCTCAATGGCACCAATCTGAGCCCAGAGGAACTGGGCAACTCCACCCTGTACCGTGGCCCCGTGGACCCCGCCAACTGGTTCGGCATCCGCAAGGGCTACCCCAACCTGGGCTACATCCAGGTGGGTGCGGGGACACCCCCGGTCCGTGGGGAACCACGTGGGGTAATGCTCGGCGGCGTGCCGCGGTCCTGAGCACCCCCTCACCCCCCCAGAACCACCTCCTGGTGCTGCTGCTGCTGGTGTTCGAGGCGGGGGTGG